AATAATAAAATAATAAATTTTAGGTTGATCTCAAAACCTCACCAGATAAAGTTGAAACAATTTGCATGGCAGGATACAACCAAGATTGACATGTTTTCTGTATTTTGAGTGAACTGAACCTTTAAGCTGCAAGTCCAGTTCAAATAGGCGTTAGATAGCCAGTAGCCTATACCTTTACAGACCAGACCTGTGGCTAAGCCTGTTAGTTGCACAATAGCAAGCAATCCCATATGAGGCCTAAACTAACCTGAGCTGCTCTCTTAGTCCCCTGACACACCTGGTGTGGGCAAGTTTATTTTGGTAGTATTACAGAAAATGACAATGTCCTTTAAAACGGTTTCACAAAAGCTGGAGCATGCTCTTTTTGTCATATTATAAGTGCATGTTTAAATACTTTTGTATTTTTTGTAACAAACCTGGAATGTTGACCTACTTCTTTGGTTTTCTTTTCCTCTATGTTAAACTTAAAGGTTCAATTTAAGCTACAGACAAATAAACCATACATGATATATCACCAGATTTCCTCAAAGCAAAAATATACACAGCTTTACAAAGACCACAGAGTTTCGGTATAAAAAAAGCAACACTGGAAATGTATTAGTTAAAAAAAAAAACTACTCCAGCTACAAGTTTCATGACGATGACTCACTTTTGCGCGTACACTCAGTGCCAGCCGGGCGACATTCCTGTTGAGAGTCACTGTGTTATGTTAAAGGCTGAACTGGAGCGAGACCCGTTTGACAAGACTGGGTGTTTTTTCCAAAGACGAGTGTTTCTACTCCTACTCAACCTCATTCCTCCACTGAAACCATCTCCTGTGCGCATGGGACCTTCCCTCGATCAGGGCGGAGGAAAACACGCACAGAGTTGGGACAGGTCGATAAAAGCTTTTATGTACATTATTGTAGATGGTGTATTTTCATCACGTAGCCTACAGAATGACAGGCTGAGTAAGCAACTCGCGGGAGTTCATTTACTTAACGAGGCTTTTTGTTGTTTCGGTGGATATTTTAACACACAATGGATGAGGTATGTCGTCCTATAACATTTTCAAATTCTCCAGCGGTGTTGTTTAACGATCAATTATTATATCATAACCATAATATTTGTACTTACGATATTGCTACAGTGTGTTAACAGGTGTAAGTCTGTTTCCAGTGACACGATATGAATATTTATTAAGCTGAAACCGAGTTCATCTCGGGACAGTGAATAGACTCAATTGCTCAGCGACTACATTCATTATTCAAATATGTACCTCGTGTGTGTGTGTGTTGAAAGTTAATTGACATAAGGGAAATCACCCCTCTCCATTTTTCCAACTGAAAAACCTATAGATATGCAAATGGGTGGAAATAAAAACAAACTAATCCATCACCCTGTTGTAGCCCTGAAGGTTGTTGAATTGACATGTGATACCATTATTGGGTGAATTCACAGATTATGTATTTTGCTAATAATAGTATCATTCCTGGGGCTATTGCATTGTGTGGTCTTTTCACCAGGATGGTAGAATGGATTTTAAAGCCCTGATGGCCAAGTTTCAGGATAAAGAACTCTCCGTGAGGCAAGCTAAAAGCAAACGTGTTCTACCAGGGAAACCAAAGGTCGCCCCTCCTGCCCAAAGCCCCACTAGCCCTACTAGCCCCACTAGCCCCACTTATCTCCCAGCAGGACCACGCACCTCCCTGATCTCCTCCATCAACCAGAGCTTGGGAGAAAAGACACTGTTGGCCCCTAGAGTGGTCTTCAAGGATGAAAAGAAGGTGAGCAAAATGCCTCTGATCCAGACTAACTCAAAGGAAAAGGACAAGAGTGAAGGGAAGCCTAAAGGGGGTAAAAGCGAGTCAATAAAAGGAAGCAAAGAGATGCTTCATAACAATTCCTTAGATCAGAAACGGAAGAAAGAGAATGGTAAGAAGCTTCCTGTAGCACACAAGGAGAGCACAGCAGTACTGGTGCCAGCCACCCCTCCACCCAAAGTCACCACACCAAAGAAGAAAGGCATCCTAACTTTGAAGAAATCATCAAAAAGAGATGCTTTGGTGGCTCCAGGTGATCTCATCCTAGACAGCCCCAGCTCAGACATTCTTGGACCAGTTCCGCTTATTCCAGCACCTTCTGACTTTGATGATGCACCACCAGAAATCTCCACACCAGAGACCCTTCTACCAAACACCCCGGCCTCACCCGACTCCAATGCCTCCATGGGATTTATCCCTGCCTCTCCTGACTTCACCCCACCACCTGCCTTTATTCCCAGTGTCCCAGCTCCGAAATTGCCAACCACAAAGAGTGAAACCCCACTTAAGATAGAAACTCCTGTTCTGTCTATTCTCAGACCTTCCAGCCAAAATGAAATTAATCTGAACCCACCCAGTGATGTCCGAGCTACTCCACCCAGTCGCACCATCTCCAGTCATCTTCCAGTGCCCTCTACTCCATCTCCATCACCTCCTGAGCCTGAGATTGCAGCTGAGGCTGGTCTAGAGGCTGTAAACATGGCTGCAGTGCAGAAGCCTCCTCCTTCAGTCATAGACCCTCCATCTATGTCACCATCTCCCAGAACTGAGCATAAGATCTCAGCATTCTCAGCCCTCGAGAGGGTGTCGCAGAAGAGCCCAGGAAAACGAATTCCAGCTGACCAGAGGATTTTCAGTGCTCTGGAGAAGGCACGCAAGAAGACCTTCAGGTAAATAACACAAGCAGGAACACTTCTAGGAGCTGTGAAGCAGTGAGGAGTATATTTTGTTGATTTCTACTATTTAATTGATTCTATTATGCTGTTGAATGCTAACATTGTGTCTCATCTCTTCTCAGCCCATCAGCACACCCCACCACATCTTACTCCATCACCCCTCTAGCTGAGGAGCCTTCCCCTGTTCAGAGCCCCACCCACTCTACCCACTCTATTCCAGCATTCCCACTCGCTGATTATAAAGCTCAGGCAGGAAACGTTCTCCCAGTGAAACCAGCACAAGTTAATGGCATTGACCACAGTGAGTCTCACAGCAGAGTTCTACCTCTCTGCTTCTTGTTTTGTATGCAGACTTTCGATATATTTAGATTTTATTTTACTTTTCATTTCACCTAATCATGAAGTACAGAAGACCATATCCTATCATCGGGACATCAGGTGCGTTCTGTACAGCTGCAGGACATCATTTGTTAGTGTTAGGTTTCAGCTGTACAGTAAATCTGGTATATCGCATATCATATGCCCTGGCGTTGCCTCGGGTGTTGGTTAGGACAAGCAGCTTTAAAGATTAACACATGCACAGACACACACATACAAGTGCATTCCTGACAACACATTTTTGTACCAGAAACAACAGAGACACAAGTAGGGCAGAGCTGCAGAGGTATGCCAGCAATGACAGAGGAGGAGCACTGATGGGAGCATGTGCATCATTTTAACTGAGAGCTGCAGTGACAGACATGTTACTGTCTGTTAAACTGACAACACCTAGGATGAGCTGTGAGCCTGTTCTTGTGTGGACAGTGACTTCATTTATCCAGAGTTTATTAATTGCGCATGCAGGTGCTTGTGTAAGCATCAATTCAAAACAACCTGATATAAGTTACCAACTCATTATTTCCATTGTCACACATTATAGCTATGTATGTTTGTGTACACTAGGTGGATATCCACTGCGTGAAGATTATTTGCAGAACTGTTAGTAAAGCTTTAAAGGACAGTATTGTAATTAAGAAAAGCAAGATATAATTTAGCTGCGCTTCACAAAAGAAGTGACTTAAAAACTAAAGACATGTACAGAAATGATATAAAAAGCATATTTTAAGGTAGAATGTTTATACTTGTCTACTTTAAGCTCTCTTGCTTTTATAAAAATCTATTATTACTATTATCCTTGCTCTGCTGACTTATATCACAACACATTCCACAGTGTGTTTGACCGGTCTGGTGTCTTCACAAATCAAATTCTTTCATTCTGTTTCTACATTCTCACCCTTTTTGTGGTTGCACACTTCCTTCCCGGGGGTTCAGCTAAAGGTCTAATTGTTTTTACTGCTGAAATGAAGATAACCCTAAATTGGAATGTGACCTGGTTGTAAAGTGTCTGACAAATGTTTACATAGTCATGTATTAAGGTTAATGTAGTGCAATTCTTAGCAGGCCAAGTCTCTCCAGAGATGGAAGGCATCACTGAAGAAAGATCTAACCCTGTCCCGGAGCCGTTCGTTGTTCCAGCTTCTCCAACTAGAAAGCTCCTCCCGGAGGTCGAGTCTCTGGGTCCTGCTCCACAGAAGCCTGCCAGACCGTCCACTGTCAACCTGAATCAATTCTTCCCTCCTCATCAGAATGGTAAATGTGTGAACATCACGCCAACTGCACTTACAGCCTTGTGAAACCAATCCTACCTTGCCCACTGACAGCTTTCCTTTTCCTTTTCTGCAGAGATCCCTGCTCCTCTTGAGTTCACACAGACTGACACCACGGTTGTGCCCAAGTTTGACAATGTGGCTTCAGATGCTCCTTCTCCAGAGCTCCGTGTGTTGAATTGGAGGAATAGCAACTACACAGGTTCAGATACTCCAGATGGACAGAAACATCCCATGTTTTACAGCAATGGGATAACTCCAGGAGCTATGGACCATGCAGCACCAGCTCTTGGAAATGAATACCAACTTAATCTACCACCACAATCCCCTTTTCCTAGCTCTCAAACAACTCCATCACCAACAGGGTATGACACATCATTTTCATCCTTTTGCTTTGAAATATTTATTTGTCTCAGAGAACTTGATTGTGATTCCTCTTTGTCCACTCCTCTGTCCCAACCAGGCCTGGAGCTGCAGTTGGGAATGGTGACTATGAGAACGGGGAAAATGTCTATGAGGACTTCACCTCATCTGGTACCAGGAAGAAAGGAAAGACTGATGGTGGCAAGAAGCGCAGAGGACCACCAAAGAGTGAGGACATTAGCTATAATACATCAGACTTTTTGAACACAAGATATAATCACAGACACGAGATGCTTATTAGCAACACATAATTATTCTACCACTGTTTGAACATCTTGGGCAAATATTGTATATACAGAAATTGTAGATAACACACATCTCACCATTGGCTCTTGTGGCCAGACATAAATGTCATTATGTTGTGTGACTGTATCAAAAATGAGTGCTACAGTGTTTTTCATGCTCCGGAGACCCTTTGTATTCTAAGTTAGTTTAAACAATTTTGCATTTCTCTTACATAACTGTTTACCACAGATCCATATGCTGAAGCACAGGCAACAGTAAGTGTCACTTAATTTATAAATGTAGTTTTTTTTTCATGTCAAGGATTGATTATCTGTTGGAGAGTCAAATGATTTAATGTAAAACAAATCAAGCCTTATCTCTGTTGGTGTTTATAGAATGAAGAGAAAACCAAGACGGGCATATTCAGCAAGTAAGGCCTTATTTTTGTTCACCCAATTCTCTTTTCATCTTGATTATTTCATCTCAGACACTGTTAGTGATGAGAGACTTTGGTCTGCCTTTGTTTTCATCATAAACTCCTCTGCCATTTAAATATACTGCAAGAAGTCCCATTTAAACAAAACGATATCCCATATTTTCTGTTCTGCAGGAACGACAAGAAAATCACCACAGAAGGGTCAGATGAGAAAGATCTGAAAAAGAAAGAGAAGCAGCGCCTGGAGAAGGAGAAGAAGGAGCTCAAAGAGCAACAGGAACGGGAAAAGAAAGAGCACAAAGAAAGGGAGAAGAAGGAGAGTGAGATAAAGAAGAAATTCAAAGTGAGTAATGGTATTTTGACAGAGAAGGAAGGTATGGAAGGTGAATCAGGGCAGGGTTTACTCTTGGCACACAAACCTGTCTGGATTCATTCCTCCCAGTGGAAGAGGTACGTGAAGGCTCAGACTTAATCTGTGCAAATATTTGTCTCATTGTTGGTGATTTTGCTAACAGAGATCTACAGACTATACTTTATTTAAGCATTACACTGCTATTTTAACTTTTGAACATTTCTCCAGGACCCATGTGGTCCTACTTTTGTATAAAAACCTTTATCTGGAGTGATTTCTCTGGGGCACATTGTAGATATCAGAGTTTACAATTAAACATTAATGAAACCAGTATATTACTGTAAAGAAGCTATAATTAATATTTTTATATTAACACATTCCTACTATGTAAATCGAGATAGAATTATAATCGAGCTCTGCATTTCCTCTCAGATATACATTGTTGTATACTTGTTGTAAACTTGCAACTAGTTTCAGCAAAAAAGCTATAAAAACCAAGTATGCTAGCTGCACAGCAGACGAGGTTAAGCTACTAGACAGTGAGCATAGTGGAGCACTTAGCTGTTAAAGAAACATATGTTTCTCAGGAGTTGGTAAACAGTAAAAACAGATCTAACAAACCTGACATTTACCAGGTGACAAAAAACACAGCTCACAATGAATGCTAATGTTTCCATATCTGATAATTATACAGATGTTAGCCAACTACTTTGCAGTATCACTGTAAAAAGTCAACATAATATGCCAGGTCTGTGTTTTTTTAGGGCAGACATTTTGACTTGTCATTGTGGGAGAAACACAGGCGCATTTAATAACATTAACAAAGGCTCAGTTCCATTAGGAGTCCCACTTGTTATTTCAGTGAATGTGTTGGGAGTTGTACCTTATTATCTCACTTTCAGTAGCAAGGGTCCTACTGTAGATGTGAGCACTATTTTTGTGTGTGTATATGTAGATATGAAAATATGTAGTGTTAATCTGTTACTGTATTTGTTAGATCACTGGACAGGAGGATGCCATGTACCAGGCAAAAGTAACTGTAACGACAAAGGGACGAAAGAACCATCTACCCGTCAAAAGTGGCGACGTCATCAGCATCATTCAAACAAACAACTGTCCCAGAGGGAAATGGCTGGCCAGGGACAGGAGCAACAACTGTGAGCTTTAAACATCATTAGCAATGTTTCACCTCAAGGGTCACATGATCCATAAAGAAATAGAAAAGAGCTCTATTAGTTAGATGAAACTATTTCTCTGACCTGTTAGGTGAACATATTACACTGCAGCAGGGATATGATGAAAACTGCAGAAATCACGCAAAAAAGCAACTTTATTTTTACACCGCCCATAATGAAAATTGCCTTCACAGAAAACTTGCTGGGAAAAGTAACTTGATTGTGGATCCCACCAATGACTCTGTGCGTGTTTTCCAGATGGGTATGTTGCCGTGGATCATGTGGATCTGGACGTCACGGAGATGATGGAGCTGGGGAAGAAGGCTACGATCTCTCACAAGACCAACAGCAATATCGGACAGGTTAAAAGCCAAGAGAGCAGGTGTGTGTACACAGTGGGAAACATATAGAGGCAACACAAAAAAGCAGCTTTTTGCTAATGAATTATTACACTATTACATTAAAAGGATGATTTCTAGCAGTTGTTGTTTCATTTTCTCAGGGCCCCAAACCACTTTTCACAACCAAGACAAAGTTGTAGGTGTTTTAATTCCTTACTCATACTTACAGAATGTTTTTAATATATTCAGCACCAATCAAATATTGATATTGACATATTGACAGACACAGATGACAGTGATGAATGGACTGGTGATGATGATGAAACTCTCTCCCCTTCCCACGAAACTGCTGATCCTCTGATTCCAGAGTAAGTGCTTGTCAGCCTGAGTCCACCTATTCACCTTTGATGAATGTTTTTTTCTTTTTTTAATGAAAAACTGTCAGCAGCAGCTACAGTGATCAATTAAGTCATTGAGGGCAAAGCATTGTATTTTTGAAGACCAATACCAATATCTTATCTTGTCATTGTCCTTTCTTATGCAGGGGCCATTTCAGGACACCCTCCATGCCAGATATGGGTAAGAAATCCCAAATCTAACTTCTGGATTAACACCACTTCAGTGCTTTTGTTTTATGGCAAACCTTCCTCCAGCAAATTGTACTGAGAGCACTTTAACAGTCTAGTATTGCTATGCAGTAACAAAAAGAATATATTACGTAAAGTGTACCTACATTTCCCTCAACTCATTGTCTTAAAATATTTCATGGTTGTCATGAGATTATCAGATTATTCTCACCTGACATCAAGTTATGCCTCACAAAAAAAAAAGTGTGACAGGTATTTGCAGTGGTGGAAGTACTACTCTGATTCTTTACTTAAGCAAAAGTAGCAATCCCACAGTTCCCAAAAAGTTACTTAAGTAAAAATACAAAAGCATTTGCATCAAATGAAGATTTTAGTTGACATTAAACCCATACCTTACTATCTGCAAGTCATAATAGGAACATTAGTTGTCTGACTGCATAATTTGCTTCACAGGTTTAGCTTTGGTGATCAAAGCACCAAGAGAATAAAATGTCCGTATACAAGTCTAGGACACAGCTCAAACAAGGTACATTAGATTATGAGAAGTAAACAACCGGAAGTTAGTTACCGCAGTTTGTTTGGCTGATTTAGTGCACAAATGGTCAGCAGTATCTGTGACACACAGATCACAACGGCTATTATGGTGCTTTAAAGCCCTTAGTGTCAGGATTTGCACTCCCCTCCTTCTCTGAGCTGTAACTCAACTGTCATAAATCAACTCAGAACACACAAATACAACAGACACATTTTTAGATTTGATTTGATGTGCACTTTGAGGATATCATTATCAACAAATCATAGAGAAAATACATTGTCTAGCCCCAGAACTTTCCATAGCTTTGTTTTCTAAAGCATCAAAGTATTCCAGTGATATGCTGTGACAGTGTCTACACATCCAGGGGGGCACTGCAAACTGCTAATAACGAATGCAGCATACTGTTAAAGGTGCCAGTTTGTCAGAATGTGAACCTGACATGAGCCCCAGGTTGTCAGACTTTCAGTCCTTGGACTAAATTAAATGGTGCAAACTGTACAGTGTTCTATTTTCATGGTGGTACAACACTCCTCCCATGTTCCAAGCTGCTGAGATCATGATACTTTCCAGTTCTAAAATTCTATCAGACTCCCTCAACCCTGTTTGCATATTTTAAATGCTAATCACAATCATGGGACTCATTAGATAAGAAACCTGTATGTGTAACAATCAGCTAAGTGTTGGTGACTACAGTAAATATTATCTGTGTGATTATGGTATAAACACTACAGGAGATGTATCTTATCAAAGTGCATTGTATTAATTGGTCTTGTTAAATGTAATTTCTTAGGAAACAAAGATCTTAACGTCAATCACCAGCACAGTCAGAGTGACATCAGCCCAGACAGCTCCCATATCCTGTGAGTTCACCTGTTTCCTACTTAAATTTATCTGTGGATACACACAAACAAATAAGCAGAATGTGGATATATACAGTGTATGTGTATTTATCTTTTCATCAGTGCAAGACATGAAGCACTTCAGAAGTTGGCAACATTCTTCCACTCACCCAGAGCTGTGGAGCCAGCTGCCAGGTAGGCATTGTTAGGTATTTTTAGTCAGATAGAAATTGGATAGATACTTTATGTATTAGAAATGTTTAGTGGAGATAGGATGTCTAGTTAGACTGTTAAATGCTTAGGCATGCTTATGAGTTTCTACAGGGTACATCTGGTCAAGGATAACTAGAGAGAAGAGTTGAGGACTGTCAGCAGACAGGGTGTTTAATATTATTATTATGACGTGTATAACTGTAGCCTTAGCCATAATATGTTCTTATGTTTAATGTCACGACATGTTACTAGAGGTCGTGTGAGAATGTTTTTAGCTACACACCACTTAATCAACAGACACACACACACATTGATTTGCTTCATGTTTTGACTACTGCTATGACCAGCTGCAAAGCTGGTAACAGAGACGTCTCGGTTGACGTTTCTGTGTAGTATGGGGCTAGCCCAACCGAGGGGATATAATGTATAGGCCTGGTGGGTTCAGGGTCTTTCATCTTACATCTGCCTGTGAGCAGTTTGGAGGTGCAAGATACCTGAGCGTGTAATGTTAATTTTACCTGTGATCCTTTGAATAAATCAGCACTGTTTTGTAGTTACTTGGACTGTCTCGTCTCTGAGTTAGCAATGGTAAGAAGAACCAAGGACCAATAGCATAATGCATACAAATGCACACACACACAGACATGTACAGACATGCTAATGAGGTTTTAATTTTTCTTTTTTTACAGTGGCACAAGACCAGAGACAAGTAAGTCATACCTGAAAATTCTGTTCTAAAATAGTGACATACAGAAAAACCTGTACAGCAACAAACAATATGTAGAACTGGCTGATATATTTTATGTACTGCATAATCTGTGATTTTATTAAATGAGTTGTGAATTCTTAATAGCATTGGTTTAATAACGGAAAAATCCATTAACCTACCATCCCACTGATAAAGCATCCAATATCTTTGATAAATGGATTTTTCAAACCTTAATGGCAAACTATGTTCTGATATAATCTCAGGGCCTGTGCCTGTGAAGAGAGAAACAGTTCACCCGTAAGTAAAGTTATAAAGCACACACACACACAGAATAATTTTGAGCCTGTCATACAACCTATAGACAGTCAACTTTCCTTGCTTTTTGCCTAGAATTGATTGATTGATTGATTTTATTCTTTCAAGTGTGTAAAGATAGTGGATATGTCAACACACATAATTTCACACATATCCACAAATGCTAATCCCTTATCAATTTGCTTATACCTAGTACATGCTTGAACGGAGTAGGAAGAAGTTAGACTTATCCAGTCCTACCCCATAACATCATCTTACCATCATTGGTTTGCAAGCAGTATCTCTACATAGATAATTCTCTTCTACACCACACAAGTAATATACTAAAAAAATTATTACAGATTGTTAACATTCTTACATAATTACATTCTTAGATAATTGTCTTCCACACCACACAAGTATTATACTAAAGAATTATTACAGTGTTAACATTCATACACCACACCCACAATGTTCCATCTAATTAATCATTAAGCCTGTTCTTGCATATATCTTGATTGACACATACCTTTATATTTATGTTTAAACTCATCAATTCTATTACTATTTTTTATGTCCGCATTTAAATTATTCCATAGTTTTACCCCACTTATGGAAATACAAAATCTTTTTTTGGTTGTACGTATAGCATGAA